TAAGAATATTCTTATCATTAATAATACGAGTGAATAATAAAGAGGTCTAAAAATGCCATAAATTATTAAAATATAGTCTGAAATGCGCTCAGAGTTAGAGAGAGAGAGAGAGAGAGAGAGAGAGAGAATCTCAAACTAAACACAAAAAACACATTAAAATAACACCAATACTAACCGTAATATCCTTTTGCCAGTCGAGGCCGAGACCGTCGCGAAGGAAAGCCGTGATATACGTCATGTCGAGGCACAGGAACGGCGACTGTTTCCTCAGCTTCACCACCGATTGGCACACATTTTCGGCCGTCGAGTAGTAGTCGCGCACTTTGACGCGTCCCGTCTTGTCCTTCACAAGCCTTACGTCATTCATGCGGTCGTAATAGTAACTCAAACCAAACACTTCCCGATCGCGCAACTCTTCGGGCTTATGGACAGCGGTGGCCACCAATTGGCGACTCAAGTCGTAACAGTCGTCAAAGGCGGTGCCCGAAAGGACACTGTCCTCGTCGGCCGCTATCTCGTACGTCACGCCCTCGAAGGTCCACTTCTCGGTGCGGTTAGGAGTGGTAGCAAAACACGGACTGCTCACCAGTATGTGTGTGTCGGTCAACGGCCGCACCCGACCGCTGGCCAATAGAATACGCTTTCGGGCCGACATCAGACCGAAACCCAGGTATGAGTGAGTGTACAGGTATTCGGGCTCTCCCTCGATGTCCTCTTTGACGATATAGCCGTTCGGTGAGCGCACCTAATCATCAGACAGACAGACAAAGTGGACATTAATTGCCAATTCATGAGACACTTGGATGTCAAACGCAAAGACAACAACAACTGATCGCTAACCAGTGTTTCGGTAGTATTGGTGGCGAACGTGATTTGTGTGGAACCGCCTCCGAGATCCAGCGTAACGATCGACGTGTGAATGTCGTGCAGTTTGGAGAGCAAGAAGTTGACGGTATACCACGCGTACAGGCCTTCGTCGCGATCGTCCAAAATGGACACCGAGTTATCGTCCACTGAATTGAGAGACAAACACACAAAACACGTGATAAAATTGGACACAAAAAACATTATTAAAAACGGCACAAAAAAACGCATACCTCTAAAGGGCGTGGACTCCAACTTCTGGCGCACGGACTCCAGTATAGTGTCGGCCGAGAGTTTGGGAATCAGCCGCAGACCGGCCGTCGCCTTCAGTATGAGACCGGTGTGGAGCTCGTGATGGTCGGGTACGGCGGCCAACGCCCGGTCCAGCAGTGGTTGCAGATTGACGGCCGCGTCGGTGGGGCTGTCGGCGTAGGAGGAGAGGCCCGGTTTGATGGACTGAAACGTTTCGCTCTCGAGAAATATGCGCCGCGTTTTGCCGTTGATTTGTGTGGTGAACGAGAAGATGTGCACTCGGGTACCGGTGCTGCCGCCGTCCATCACTATGGCGTACGACCGGTCACCGCCCGGTGTCACCACATTTGCGGCCAAACCATCGCCAGTGGTGGCCATCGGGTGGGGTATGATTTGAGTGCCCCGATAGGCGGTGCCGGCGAACGGCCCGACAATAGTGGCCAGACATGAGATGAGTGCCGATATAAATAGGGCGATGAATGTGTGCCGGAAGTAGTGATAATTCGGTGATGATTGAGATGGGGGTAAAACTGTGACCATTTTGGCCGTCGATGGCAGAGACCTCGAAGTCGATGCACAACCGGTGGTTTGCCGTTGTTTTGTCGATAACATTGTGTTTTGTTGTTTAAATTATTAGTTAATTAATTTAATAATGATTTATGCCTTAAAACGAGTGCCAAAACTCTGTCCTAAAAAAGTGGTGTTTGAGAAACAGATAAAACAATTATAAATTAAATTATTGTAAAAATACTGTTGAAAAATAATTGGTTTCGTTATAATAATCGCAAAATTTAGTGATTAATAATCAGTAATTCATTTTCAATGAGATAATAATTTTCAAATAATATAATTATATCAAATCCGAAAGTAGTTTAGCTCTCTCTCTCTCTCTCTCTCTCTCTCTCTCTCTCTCTCTCTCTCTGTTTAATCAAAAGCAATTAGAGATAGCATTATATGCTATAAATTAATTATAAATTTGCTGTATTTATCTAATGATTTCTAAATCCAAACCCATGTCTACTGTAAAGCATTGCAAAAAACAACAAAACAATTGAGCCATAGATTGACGTAAATAGACATCATTTTCGACACACAATTATCTATACGTTTAGATTAAATGCCTATCAATTGTGAGCGAAATAAAAGTCAATAAAAAGTTAGATAAAAACTATACAATAAATGCAATATTTTTACTGAAAAACACTTTAAAATAACATTTTTAAAACCAAAAGTCGATTAAAAACTAAAAATTAATGCAAAATTCTAATGACTATCAGGAATATCAAGGGATAAAAATTTATGTAAAAATATTACTGAAAAATACATTATTGAATGCAATCCAAGAAAAATATATTTAAAATGTAATGTTTTTAACTATCATTTGGTAAAATCAATACTTAAAACACACATAAAGTTATATATTTTAAAACCGTATAAAAATTCATTACATATGCGATTAGATAATAGACGTACAGAATATTCTGTGTGCAAATATTCTGCACATATATTGCCATTCATACGAATCGATAGGAAAAATACATATTAAAAATACATATAATATTCACACAACAAAATCAATGATTAAAACCTATAGAGAAATGCCATTCAATCATCACATAGACGACAAAAACATTGAAATAAATGGCTTTTCTCCAGAAATTTAAGCCCAAAAATAATAGGCAAATATATATTGATATATAAAAATCAATTAATCAATTCGGGAGACAAAATGCCTGATTATTACAACACATATAATATATGTTGTGATGTATTGATAAATGACAGCCAAAACGTTATGTAAGAGAAAAAAACACAACTAAATCATTGATTAAGTATTTATCACATAATATATTATATACGGAGAGCGCCGGCAGTAGTGAAAGGCCAGTGATTTTGAAATCACAACCAAAACAGCTAATTATAACGACGAAACCATGTGTTCAATATTGAAATATACGGACAATTAATCCGATAATAATTAAAACAATAGCTGAGACCCGGATATCAATGAAAATTTCTAAAACACAAAATGTATTGAAATTAACCATAAAAATAGTCACAAAAGACATACTTTTGCTGTCATTTTATGGCAAAAAATAACTCAAACAATGACTGAATAAAAAACAAATTTATCGCAAAAATATGTAATAAATAATTGATTAAATAATCGCTTATAAAACCCCGTAATAAATGACAGTATTATACAGAGAAAAAACTAATTGCATATAAAATCAAATTTAAAACTAATTATAATAATCGCTAATAAGTAGGGATGAAAATTTCACTGAAATTTTTATATGAACATTTCATTTAGGCTAAATATTGAAATTTTGGGCTAAATTTTCATAAAAATGTGAAATCTTCATATACATTTTAACTAGATACTTTTAATGTGGTGAAATATATAAACATCAAACTAATTAAAACATTTTTCATTAAAAATAATTACAAAAATTATTTTGGTTATTTAAATATTTCAAATTTAGTAAAGATTTTTGCAAATTCTGTTATATATTCTGTGAATATTTTACTTAAAATATGAATTCTAATATTCTATACCACAAAATAATAATGAATTTACGACAAATTAAGTATTCTATTTAGTATTTAAATAAATCACTTTTTGATAATAGTTGTTAATTTAGTTTAAATGACACGAATTAGTGATTTAATTAATAAATATGCGCAATATAGATGTCGCTAATATAGAGTGGTTGAAAGTTTAGCCTAAATGTTCAGAGAGACCCCTAAACGTTCCCTAAATTTAGGGCTAAATTTAGCCCTAAACGTTCCCAAACTTTCACCACTAACATCTCTACTAATAAGTACTTAATTATATAAAAGTTGCATAACATTATATACCTATGAGTTATCTCTCATTATAAACATATTTTATTTTTCACTTCACATTAAAGTGACTGTTGTTTAGGTATTTGTTAGTAATAATGAAATTAAAAAATACATTACAAAAAAGTGTAAAAATTGCAAAACATTGAAATTAAACTGCAAAACACAATCTAATCGTACAATAAAAATGACATTTAAAACAATATTAAATTAATAGACAATTGAATATTCATTCAAACACTTGACTTAAAGTCAAAATCATATGCTTTGTATAAAATCAATACTTTTTTGATCCAATTGTATAATACAACTGTTGTATTATAAAAGACAACTAAATGACAGCAAATAAAAATAAAAGTCACCTAAAATTCAAGTCATGTTTTTAAGTGGAAATAGAGAATGAAAAACAAGTAATAAATTATAAGCAAAACTTTTTTAATACAAACTTTTTTTCTGATTTTCTTTGGTATTTTTGGTCACACTTTGAGTGAATGTCTAGTATTTGTCGATAGAAATCACACAAATTTATGGCACATAACAAGTGCTGACATTCAAAAAGTTATTCAACTGTTCACTGAATACATATAAAAACTTTTATATTTTTTTGTAAATATATTAAAAATTCCAAACCATAGGAAAAATCTATTACAAACACAAACTATATCTAAACATAAATCACAATCAAATTACTAGTTCAATGGTTTATATGCAAAGATAATGGTCAATATTCAGCAATACACGTGATGGACACACAGTTGTATTATGTGAGTGTGTGTTTGGGGGACAGGGCTGTCACCACACCTCCCGGCGCTATCCTAACCATTGGTCTCCATATAGACAATCAAATCATTAAACAAATACTAACTGTTATTTCAATATAAACACAACTTTGAGTGCTTTAACTTATATTTATATGTATGCTATCATTGTTTTATACAATATCTTATGCTAACCACTAATCGTGAACACAACTGGATTTAACTGGCTTTTTGTGGATCTTAACCATAGCATCCATAGCACCCTATCTTAAGCTATAGCCCGGAGGTTATCCATTAGATAATCCGTTAATTTGCAGTGCATTTGGTTAGTAGTGACCACTTGTTAGCCCAAAACCGACTCAAACCAAACCATACAAAGCCTTATGTGTTTTGTACACTATTCAGTATAACATGGTATTGATTGCAATCGCAAATACACCACAATCTAAACATCAAAAATTTATTTAATGATTAAAAAAACAACACTATTTTGTTTGCCGGAGAAAGCCTTGACTGCCAGTGAAAAGTTATGGTCGGGACAGAAATACAGGCGATAAAAGTGTTGATTAAAAAACAAAATTACAAACTTAATTATCAAATGCTTTCTCAAATCATTGTAAGTGATGAGAGAGAGAGAGAGAGAGAGAGAGAGACGAAGAAACAATTGACTTTTG